TGTCCCAAATTAGTCGACTGACTGAAAGAATAACTAAACGTGATTGTCTCCATACAAAACGCATGATTTCAATCAACTTAGCCAGTTTTTGTTGTGTATCACTACATACAGTTACATACAACTGAGTGACTTGGTTTCCATAAACGTTTTGCATCAAAATTGTTTCAGTTTTCTATCCATTTATGAAGTTTTCCGAATTTCCCCACCAATTTTTTTTCAATTTTTCACCAAAATCGCAAAAGGATTTTCTGCCAACAGCGTAAATTTTTTCAACCGATGCGAATTTCAACAAGCGGCAAGGACCAAAAGTTAGGTTTTTACATTTACTGAGTCGTACCACTTTAGAATTTGGAAAAATGTTATTAAATTATTTCGATGTGTGTTCCGAATTTCCCCACCTTCCCCTACTTAATCCTACTTGAATCATCTGGAAATCTTAGAAATATCGTTAATAAATTAAGTAAACAATAATGGACACTTTCCAATTAAAAATCGAAAGCTTCGATAAAATTTCTAGAAGGAACACTATGAAATTCGAATTAAAATAAGCCAAAACGATGTACTGAATCATGAAGAGAGTTGAAGTTGAGTACTAAAGCATATTGACTGTATCTCAGAACGTAGCTGCTACATTAAATGCCAAGTAAGTAAGTCGACTGTTTGTGTGGTTTAATCCCATCAAAGGTTGAAAATGTGCGTCTGATCTTCCTGTAAATTTTGCATTTGTTTGCACTGAATTATGTAAAAGATGTGAATTTTAATGGATATGTGCGAACGGCAAAAGGTGTCGATTTTTGTTTGTTAATACGATTACAATGTCTGCAAATATTTTCCATCATTGGGAAATCGTTCGCATCATTCCGCCCCAAAAATGTCCAAGTTCGCTGCAAAAGCCATTGCAAACGTTTTGGAAGTGCCAACTTTTATATACGTGAAAATATTTGCTTGAAAATCATTGGATCATATAAATTTACCTAATGTGTGTTGGTGTTACAAATTTAATTGAATCGATGCATATGCGTGGCGTTACGCCACTGGTCGTAAATAAAGATTCATCGAAATTAATTAGATGATGATGCCGGAATTGCAAGTAGAACAACGCGTATAATTAATTTCAATCAATTCCTAATGATATTCACTTTTCTTTCATTCGATTCGAATGCTTTGAATCGTTCGGGGAGAAAATTGATGGAAAAAAGAATAATGAACTTTCCTCGTCCGAATAAATCAAACGTGTGTGTGTGTATAGAACAGAGCTCGTATTCATAGTGAAAAATGCACTCGTGTCATCGAAGACCTCATTCACATATTATGGGAAACCAGCAGAGAACATTTCGCATCAATTCTGTCAACGGTAAATGAATGGGTCAAAATGGAATGCACCATTTCAATGGATCGATTTCGTATTGACTTCAATTTTTAAGCGATTACGACACAGAAGATTGAATACAGAGCGCTTCCATTTGAGCAGTTTTTGTTTCGGGATTTGTTATTAGAATCGCTTTCAGTGTTCGTTTTCATCAAACGGGAGAGACACATCGGCAAAGGTAAAGAGAAGTTTATGTTTTTCAATATTCATTCACAAAGTTCACAAGAAGAGAAGAAAAAAAGATACAACACAACAATAAAAAGCATGCAATTTAGCTTCCAAGTTGGGGCAAATACCATTTGGCTTTATCTTTGTTTGAGTTTTCTCTTATCCGAAAATTTACACAAGATGCGCAGTTCTTTCTTTGAATTTTGTGTATCGAAAATTGAACCTCAGGTTAAAATGTGGACATCTTCATGAAATGCGGTGAAAATGTGTGGCAATAGTCGAAGGGTTGTAACAGTGATGTGATCGGCACATGAGCACCATCTCTACTGATTGCCATTATTGCAATGTAAATGAATAGAATGTCTACTTCTTTTTCTCAACATCAATTGCATACGACTTATATACGACGCAAGGTGGCAGCACCTTAAATGGCGTTTTTATACACAAAGTGTATAAATTTGAGTGTAAATTATGTTAGTGGCGTATCAAAATGAAGGTTTAAAACAAAAACATGGTCAATATAGAGCGTGTGGTCTGACTGTATGTACTGCGCGTGCCTTTTGGCAATAGTTTCATCAGGAATTTTCATAGTAAAAAGTTGTTGGCACGTTTTTCGTCTTTCAATATTCTATATTTATTTTCACCGCTCTCTGCAGTGCAAAGTCTGCAAGACGCTCTCAATTTCACGAAAGTTCATAGTATCAAATTAAAAATGAACAGATAATTTCAATGAAAATAGTGTTACATAATAAATTCATTTCTGTCCCAATTATTGATATCATTGACCAAAATCGCTTCTCCCCTCATCACCTGCAGTGAAGGTTCTTCACCTTGGGATAATTTTAAGTTATAATATATCTCTTATTAATATGTCTCTACACACATATACCTTTCTCTTTATCTGTTAAAAGGACATGTCCACATTCGCTACTGATAAAGACAAATCGATTGATTTGGGGCACTTAACTTAAAGTCAAAATATTGTTCTATTTATTTGTTCGCATTCGTCGTGAGCACTCGTAATCAATGCATTGTATAGTGAAACAAACATAAACGAAGCAAACGGCGTAGCGATAGTCGTGGATAATTCGCCAACGTCGTCTCGCGTCCAACTGAGATTACTTACGAATCTTTCGGAGTTTTAGCTTCTGAGAGAAGCCATCATAGAAAAATACTCAAATTATTACGACGCTTGAAGACTTTGACTTTTCGTATCACGCCTATGATTCATCGATAGGCGTGGGTCCGTTTTCCATGACAGAATCGGTGCGAATAAGGGGAATTAGTAGACATGAACTAATTTCCGGTTTCAATCTAGCGAAAAGATTTCTATCTGTCCGTTTTCTCGATGTTGTAGAAATTGCTTCGAACTCAGGCAAATTGACACAATATTTTCCGGAACGTTTGACGGTATCAAAAACGTGGACAACTAATAGCTCCAATTATGGAATGCTGAATGAAATACTTTAATGATTATGACAATATCGATCAAATCCCACCTGCATTTGGAAATCTTAAGGAAATCGTATTCGATAGGCATAAACATGAAACGAAAACTGTGTTAAAAAACCAACATTAAACCAAAAATTTCACGTGGAGTAAACTAAATGATACACAACTACAACAAATTTTGCATGCATTTTTTTTGATTTTTTCATTCCAAAATGTTATTGACTGAATTCAACTGTTTCAGAAAAAACTTGCTCATCATAGCGGTAAAAATTTCACGACTACAAATAATAAATAAAAACGTTCCCGTAACAAACGGATAAATCTTGAATATGATACTTCCTTTCCTTCGTTACGACCCTCTGCACATAACAATTTCAACAGCGCTTTTTTCGGTCAATTTTACGATAGAGTTGATAAAAATGCTTATTTTTATCGTGATCATTTTGAAGCGCTTCCGTGTGCGTGTTCGTAATCGATGTGGTATTACTTGCAATAATTCGTTGCGGAAATTTACTGTTCGCTTTTGAAAGTGCTTGTGCATTTGGTGCACTCACCATTTCGGATGAGCTGAATGGAATCGCATGCAATTTGTGTTCAGTCGTTTTGCAGAACAACAGAGGAAATAGCAGTTTTGTCAACGAAACGAGAGAAGAAGAATTACTAGGAAAACTCCATTCAATTTGAATGAGCTTCACATAAAATTACCGTCACCACACCTGGTTTGAAAAAAGGGTGGTGCGAGAATGTTGAACAAAAGCAAATACTCACATTGCATTGAGTTATGCTGCGGTTCCATTAGATATTATGGATAAGAACACTCGAACGATGTGAACTATGGTTACAACTCACAATGAACGCAGAAAAAAACCGCCACACAACGTGAATTTGCTCAGAAATGTGTGAAATGAAGTTATCCTATTAGCGCACTATATGCACTTCATTATGAAAACATGTTGAATGCGAGCAAGGAAAAAAGTTGAGACAGAGAGAGAATGAGTGAGCGCGAGTACCGAATCAGTTTCACTCATTGTAACAAATCTTTCGAAAATATCACTTGAGTCAAGTTCACTCGAAACTTTGCGCAACCGACAACTTTAATCGAATTTCATTCATAATTTTCTGTCTCTTACATTTTCGATCTATTTTGACACAAACGATGTAGGTAATTTGATTGACTTATTATACATTAACCAACTTAATCTTGACAAAAGTCGCAACCAAAAAGTTCAATCGAAATGTTTTTTAGGGGATTACGGTGTGATCCGAGGTAAATTATGCAAATCAATCATATTTCAATCAAAACGATGTAAATCAATCATAAAATGCAATCGTCGTGGAAAAAGCAATAGACTGTGAGTGCAATTAATATCGGAAAACATTTCTTGCGTATACATTTTTTGAATGCAAAGAAAAAATCAAAGAATGATTGAAGAATAGTTCCTTTTGTAAGAAAGAATTATTCGGAATGTGCAGAGAATTATTGTCCTTTGTACGATAAACTGCTGACTAAAAACGTCGTCATCATCGTGTGTGAGAGAGAAAAGCAAAAGAATATGCTGAAAATGGTTAGTCTCAGACGGAAACCCTCACTTCGTTGAAATTGGCTGATGGTGCTTAATGCGTTTCGGTGTTGTGGCGGAGATCATACTCGTTAGCATTATGAAAATGTGTATTGCATGGCTTTCTATAATGCTTAAGCTTTGCGTTGCGAAACAAAGCACACGATATGCGCTCCAGTGTGCTATCAACGGTGTGTGTGAGTCCGCACTCACCACTTGTTTGGTGTTTGGAATGCGTTGGATGCGGCGCTACAAGTGTTTGGTTGCCCGTTCGTTTTTTTTCTCTCCACATACATTGTTTGTGAGCATGGCAGCCGAACCAAGTGAATGCAAGGGGGAGAGAGAAGCAGATAGAGTGAAAAAGAGAAAGCGAATCCACACGAGCGATAGCACTTCCTTTGGCACGGGCTACACAATTTCGTGTATAAAAGCGCACAACGTGAGCACACATCGAATCATTTTAACATAAAAGCTTGAAACGAAAAGACTAGCAGTTGGCTGAAAAACATTCGAACCGAAGAACCTCCAGTAAAGAGTGGTTGTTGCTTCAGTGCTAATTCTGACTTCTGTCGACACACAAAACTAGTTGGTTTTTCTTTTTCTAAACTGTTTTGACAATATTTTTCGCTGATTTTTCTTTCGGTTGCACACAAACGCCACTGAAATTTTTAATCAACAAATTTTTGTTTCAAAATCCAAGTGAAATTTGTTGTAAATTTTATAAATTCTCTAAAATCGAAACTAAACCGGTTTCCTTTTAGTTTTGGTGCCACTAATGAACAGTGCATAAATAGACCGACCAATTAGTTTTCATTTAGTTACAAAAAAAAAAAACAAGAAAGGTTCGTTTCGGTCAAACGTTTTCATTTATAGAAGAAATTAATCCAGAAAAATTAATTTCATCAAAATCACAATTAATCAAAATCTCAATCCATTATTTTTTGTCTCCGTTTCTGTTTCGTTCATAGAAATTTGAAAAACGCGGCAATAAATTTTGCACAGTTTTTTTTTCTGTTCAATTCTAAATTCATTCATTTCGAAAAAGAAATACTTGAAGAAAAAAAAATCAAGAGCCAAAATGTTGAAAATACTTGGACTGTGCATTTCGTGTTTAGTGCTTGGAATTACCGTTGGACTACCGACCAAGGTTCGTATTTACCCAATTATATTTCACATTTGACATTTTTTGTTTCATCGTTTTCCTTTTTTTTCTTTCAAATTGTTCGTTTTGAATATATCTGGCACAAGCGACACATGTCATGGTTCGGTGGGGTCAGCAACAAGCTGATTTCTACCATAGATAACATTTAATTGTCGTCAGTAGCAGTAGCAGCAATAGCAGTGGCGACGTTGGTGGCAAAAGCTCCAATTTTTAAATAGCATCTACTAATTTTAAAATTGATTTCAAAGTATGGTATTAGCTTGCCTTTAGATTTCCACATGTGGCTACTGCTGCCATTGTTGCTGCTCGTGGCTAGTAAGAACGGGATAAAATAATGCTTTCGCATCCCGTGGTGTACGAGACATACGTGAGTAGGGAAATCCACGTGTGCGCGCGATAAAAACGGATGTATTATAATAAACTAATCGATTGGCGCTCTTCAAAAGGTGTTTTGAACATTTGTCGCTTGAATTGCCTCGTCGAAATACAGCGCGAAATAGACAACTTTTAAGATAGAGAGCGAGAGAGAGAGAGAGAGAGAGAGAGTGTTGGATATATTGATTTCTAATACAAGCAGATATTGGTTTTAATATATTACGTCAGATTGAACGAGAGCTAAAACATAAAATCCATACGGGAATTTTGGACATGGTCTTTGTCCACAGATATGTTATTTTTTGTCAAGAAATACTTTGTGATGGAAAGGTACTTTTAGTCGCGCGTAAATGCCATTGCCCAAAAATGTTAAAACCTTTTTATAAACGATCACGTCTACGCTATGGCTATCATTTTCATGGTGTTTAGATTACAGTGGAGGCATGGATTTACGGGTTAAATACAAATCCATTTTAAATGACATTGGAACTTCAAACCCGCTTCGAATGGTCAACTGTTTCTCTGTCTACTCCTCTTTCTGTCTCTTTCGCTCTATCTTTTGCTCCCCCTCATTCTCTTTTTCACTTTCTCGCTCCCTCTTTTGCTTTCTCTCTTTCAATGATACAATAATCATCGTGCGAATTGTTTGCATGCCGGATGATGGCTTAAAGGTGGCTCCTTATCAAAACAATTACCGTTCAACTTATCGCCTCTATATCGTAGTGGCAATTTGTGGTTTGTCACCATTTTCTCTATTCAATTTGCATGCAAAATATGTGTGTGGGAACGCAACACTCTCATTCAGATATTCTGAGAATCGGATCATATTCTCCGAATTGCTAGATTAATTATACAAATTCTGTATTGTGTCACAGGTAAATTTTCGCATTTTTCTTCGTCCAGCCCATTCCCCTTGAAAATGTCACAATTAACAAAATTGAAGATTTTTATGCAGGCGCGATTAAATCAACAATGTAAAATTATTCACATTATTGTGAATGATTATGATGATAATGTCCAGAAATGCGACATATGATAAAGGCCTACGCATTTCATTAAATAATAATTAAAGTTGATGGTAAATAATAACGCAATCGCTATTTCACCCCTACCGAAAAATTAGCTCATTTTTAGCTCATTGTCAAAATCTAGTCGAAAATCACAACAACCATTTGGCAAAGGGATTTGTTGCTCATTTCAACAAGATTTCATGTATAAATGGACGGGTCATTCATTTACGGTGAAAGTAATATGTATCATAAATTATGGAATTGGTCAAATGCCGCATTAACGATGGAAATTTGCACCTTTCAACAGTAAAACGGTATGATTATAGCAGTAAATCCGAAATTGAGAGCAATGAAACTCCGATGGCGAGAGAAAAAGAAGTATCAATTAAAGCAAATTAAAACTAATTATAAAGTTACTTTTAACCGGTCATTCATGACGCACGAATACATAATATGTCCTGTTTTTCTCTCCCTCTATCGTTTTTCGCCCTTTTCGTACGTATTCAATGTGCCATTTAATTGGATCCTGGGCGGTTCGCAGAAACTGCAGTTTTTCTTTGAACTTTATTTTTCCTTCTCTCTCTTTGGCTCGCGCACATATGCATGGAAAAATGAAGAAAAATCGATGGATTTTTTTCATATGCATAAATCATTTAAACTGCATTAGCACCACCAACAACAACGAACTTTTCACTCAATTTATGTTGTAATAAAAGTCCTGCCATGTATGGTTCAACATTTCTGAATGGAGTTTATCTTTTCACTAAAATTAAATGGATGCGATGGTTATGTGTACGCCAACACTTTGAGTTCAACATCAAACCAACGGGTTGATGAACATCACAGATCGGTTTGCACAGCAAAAAGCAGTTAAACGCTCGTTTTCACCGCATTTTCATGCAAATCAACAGGACACGCATTGAATCTTATCAATTGAAAATGGTACAAAACTATCACCCGTAGTTCTAGCATAGAAATTAAGCCAACATGCCTATTATGATGATTTCAAAGTGAATTAATTCACTGGAAAGAATTGATGGGAATTTTTTATTTTGAGAAAAGCCTGTGCTGTCAAGAGGCCTCACACCAATTTCCATATTTAAAATATGAACAAATAATATGAATTTGTTATGTTTCAACATATTAAACAGATATGTATGCATAATTTCGATTTTACTCAATTTTGTTCAATAGTAAACCGACTGTCAGCCGACTGTCATTATCGCTTCAAAAATTCTGGAAGTGGGTTTTGGTGGATCCTCAGGATTGTTCAAAACCGATCCTGGTTCTGGAAGTGGATCCTCGGGATGGACCAGGGCATTGTCAAACCCAGTCTGATCCATCCTTCCAGATCCACCAAAACCCACTTCCAGAACATATTGTTCAAGGTGAATATGAACAATAACAACGCATTCGGGCAATAATACAAAATATTTGAAATCTAACGTGAATTTTACATGATTTAAATAATACAAATAGATTTTGCTGAATAAAATTTGGCGTGAAGCCCCTAGTGTGGTGTCGTACTAATAATGTGTTTCGACTTTAAATTGTACTATTGTTGGTTAGAGGAAAAGGAATGGGTAAAGAATGGGAATTAAGCAACATTAGAGAATGAGTTTGGTTCAAATAGATGACAGAATGGAGAAAAAGATGAAACAAACACCAGAATTTCAATACGGCCAGCCGAAGATGGTGAAAATTCCAATTTTCATATGCTTTCAAAAATCTTCTGATCATTTTCAATCGAACCGTATTGTAAAAAAGTATCACCGTACATAAAGTCTCACCAATTTCTGTCAATTTCAGCGGTGCTACCAAAACGCCAGACTTTGAACTTTTTTAATGGCATTTTTGCATTTGACACATTATCGCGAAAGTCGATGAGTCTAAAGAAAGCAATTGAGTCAGATGATGATGTAACTCGCTGTTAATATGCTCACGTAGTGTTATGTTGTTTTTATTTAAGTGAAAAACCAGTCTTTTTCCCAACAAGCAGTTATTTTTATAACATTTTTTCGGCAATGGTTAATTTGTCGGGCAAATTTGTGTCCCGGTGTTATCAAAGGAATTTTCCACACCTTTGAAGCACACTCCCATTCCCAGTAACTGCACATAATCATGCGAATGGCATGAACCATATCAAAAAAGGCACAAAACCGAAAATTAACCGAAAAACACAAAATCTTGGAATTCAGAGATGCTATCACAGTGAAGCCAATAAACGAACTTTGTCAAAGCTGTCCCCTTGGATGAGTGCCATGCAGCGCAACGATGGAATCACAGTTGATCAATACAATTACCCAATATAAAATGTATGCAGACAATTGAGCTTGACACGAGAACAAATGAAATCAAATTCAATCGATGCATCACAAGCGAGAATGCGACAGCTTCAAACAAAGATAAATCGGTTATCCAATTACCTTGGGAATTAATCATTAATTGACGTGAGGATTCTTCGGTTTCGTTGCGATTTCTTTTCGGACAATGGTTGTTTCGTGTGAAATTAATGACAATATAATTGTATAAATCTATGATTCACGAAATCACCGTCTAAGGTGGGCAGATCTCATTAGTCCACTTGAGACTACCGTCATAGTGAAAATTTGCCCATTTTTTCCATCATTTTCTCTTTTTGCAAGACATTTCTCGTTGTTGCCTGATGTGTTTTTTACACCTTTTATCAATTCATCTTTAATTTCACTTCTCATTGTCTTCAATTCTTACAAGGCGCGCATTTTTTTTCCCCTTTATGCTCGAGAGTTTTGTCATTTTACACAATGTCCGAGAAAGACGAGAAAGAAAAAGATAGGGAGAGAGTGTGAGAACCAACGATAAGAGAGAGAGAGAGAGAGAGAGAGAGAGAGAGAGAAAGAGAGAGAGAGTGCTGCACTATTTCGCAGAAATTTGCGCTGAACAATTTGTAATTAATTAAAGAGCGACAGATAAAGTCCGTGCGTTACGGAAGTTTAATAAATGGTGCTAATGCAATTAAGTCCAGAGATGACTGAAGCGCACCGAGTGACTGAGCAGCGGCCGTACCGCAACTGAATTTGCGTACGTCAAACATGCTCAGTGCTTGTAACACGACCGAAAACGAGTAGTTTTTTCTAAAGTGCGCTAGAGCGCACCCGAGCACTTGTATTGTTTTTGCTTTTTTCACCATTCTATTTTACATTTTTGGCCATACGCAAATTTTGTTTTAATATTCAGCCTTTCTCGATAAAGAATAATTTCTAAAGAGTCATGTTTATATTAGATTTAGCGGGAAAATCACCAAAAATGATAGTTGCAAAATTGAGCCAGTGCGCACACTGACGTTTCTAGAAGGTGCGTGTAAACGCACGGAGCAGAAAACAACGCTCAGTTGAGTTGCTGAATTCACTACTGAGCGTGCGTTCGGTCATCTCTGATTAAGTCGTACTAAATGTTTCACGATGTAACTGAAACTCTCCCGGAATGATGTTGTTCTGTGCAATGGTCATCGAATTTTGACCCATCGATTGGTTAACACAACTCGCAATAATCTAACGATCTTTGGCATTCATTGTGATTTATATTGTTGCTTAATTTATTTGATTGGTGATTGTATTCTTC